CAAGGTGTTATTACGTAACAGGAACCCGATAAGGTTGGCAATCAGTGAGGCGTTGCTAATTAGCGCTTATCAACCTGTGTTGTGTGCACAAAAACTCTTGAGGCAATCAATCAGATTGCCTTGGTCTTGATTTTGACAGTTTCATTGGTGTGCCAATATTTTCCCATGTATATAAATGTGTCTGTGTTTCTGCTTGTATTGTGTTTGCGACTGATGAGAGCAATCGAAATGTTGACATATCGCAACCTATGTCTTCTTTCTGCTTTGACGAAATGGATGAAGGGGAACAAATGTTTTACGTTTCTGAAAAGAAGACTCCCCGTTACCGTTGCGATGGCATTAGACCGATTGTTATCGTTACGCTGTAAGCTGGCCGTAGAACGCACGAGGATAAAATTTTATGAAGACTGTATCCGATCAGGCTGTTTTCCGTCACAGTTTGCCAAGACACTGTCGAAGAATAAATTGCCGGTAAATAGTACTAATCTGACCAGGCTCGCGTCGGCGCACATTGACGCTTGCTTGGAACGAGAACGAAAGTTCCTCGAAACACAGAGACGTTTCGCTAGCACGCTCAATCGGTTATCCTTGGTTTGCCGCTTGAAATTCGAGGCATTTTCCGCAGCAGTTCTCCGTCGCACGCGGATGAAAACAGTGCATAGTCTACAGGGTTCGCTTGCAAAGGCTACATATACTTCTTTCCCAACGGATTGCCTGAAACACGTATACAATCTATCATCTGTACAGTTCACTCGCACGCAGCTGGAAGTGCTCTCGCTTGGAATGAAATATCGGTTGCCACCAAAGGCGATAGACAGGCTCAGCACGCAGGCCAACTTCGAGTATCTGTATGACCAGCTCAGTGATCTCTCGCCAAGATCCATGGAAGATGCGGGTTGGTTTCGGGCAAAATTGGTGGATATTGCGAACCAATTTCTGAATATGCCGATAAGCCAGAGATGTTGCCTGAAGGCTGAACACTATGCAGCGATCAGAGAGTTAAAAGAAATGACACACGTAATCTTCTTGCAGCCGGATAAAGGATCAGGCATCGTAATAATGAACAAGGATGACTACATTTCAAAAATGGAGTCTATTTTGGGTGATAGACGTAAGTTCCTGAGAGATACGACACCGGAGAATAACATCTTGGTGGAGAAGCAGGTAGCAAGGAAACTCCAGATACTCCTGCTCCATGGATACATCACTGAGTCGCAGTACAGGCAACTAAAACCGACTGGGACGCAGACACCAAGAATGAGGGGCGCACCCAAACTGCACAAACCAGGTAACCCACTGCGTCCGATTATGTGTATGACCAACTCGCCCTTTCATAATGTTGCTCGGTGGCTGGCGAAACTCAGATCCAGTGCGTAAACTCCTGACTGCGCACTGCCTGAAAGACTCTTTCGAACTGGCGGATACACTGGAACAACTCTCACTGGGCTCGGAGCTCATGTACTCCATAGACGTGGATTCACTGTTCACAAACGTGCCCATTCATGAAACAGTTGACGATTTGTGTCATTTCATTCTGAGTCAAAACCTGCATGTGGGTCTTCCAGTGGAGTATTTGTGAGACCTGATTCTACTCTGCACAGAAAATATACGGTTCGAGTTTGAGGGGACGCCATACAAGCAGATCGACGGTGTCGCCATGGGCAGCCCATTGGGACCAGTTTTAGCGGATATCTTTCTTGGCTTGATTGAAAGACAAGTTGCTGCCAGTATTGGTGAGGCGAAACTGTATAAACGGTATGTGGATGACATCTTGGTATTCACCAGAAGCGAACATTTTGCGCAACTGTTAACCACTTTGGGTTCAATTCACCCCAACCTATCGGTGTCCCACGAGATAGAACAAAATGGCAGCCTGCCATTTTTGGATATTCTCATCAAGAGACGGGATGGAGGTACACTGCAGCGCACCGTTTACCGCAAGGCGACCTGGAGTGGGCAGTACCTTCACTTTTCCAGTTTCGCCCCGGTTGCATACAAACGCGGTCTAGTGAAGACACTTTTCTACAGGGCTAGACGAATTTGTAGTCCGGAACTGCTGGAAGCTGAAGAAAAGTTTCTGTATAGGACCTTAGTATCGAATGTTTATCCCGAAAAGTTCATCCAAGTGCACAGCAAACCCCCTAAGAAGAAACTGCCAGTGCAAACGGCAGAGAAAAAGGCTGTTTATTTGGTTTTGCCGTTTAAAGGGGACTATGTGGCAAATGATATCGGACACAAGCTCAGGTCCGCCATAAATCGCACATACACGACCGCCCAGTTGCGCCTCATGCACACTACCCGTAAACTGGTTCTTCAGGACCGTCAGAGCTACCCTTCGGATAGTTCGGCCTCTCATGTGGTTTATCAATTCACCTGCAGTTGCGGTGATGTTTACATAGGCAAGACTAACCGTCGGTTGGCTCAGAGGGTAGCTGAGCACTTGCCAAAGTGGGTTGAACAAATGATAGCGCAACAGAACGGAACGCCCCACAGAACGAATCGGAGTCCGTCGTCATCTATCGCCAAACACCTCTTGACAACTGGTCACTATGTGAACCCCACTAATGCGTTCAAGGTGTTATTACGTAACAGGAACCCGATAAGGTTGGCAATCAGTGAGGCGTTGCTAATTAGCGCTTATCAACCTGTGTTATGTGCACAAAAACTCTTGAGGCAATCAATCAGATTGCCTTGGTCTTGATTTTGACAGTTTCATTGGTGTGCCAATATTTTCCCATGTATATAAATGTGTCTGTGTTTCTGCTTGTATTGTGTTTGCGACTGATGAGAGCAATCGAAATGTTGACATATCGCAACCTATGTCTTCTTTCTGCTTTGACGACTACACTAACGGCCAGTGGCAGCAATGCATTGCATGTAGGAACCGCTCCAGATGGAACCTAGTAGTGTTGTATCAATTTCACTTATATTTTCTGAAGCTTGCTACATACAACAGCTTTATATGCATCTACGACATACTAGACCAAGTCGAGTGATGATAAAATAGTTCAACTTTGAAAGCGATTAATCATCGATTCTGTCACCTTCGTATATAATGCATATATAAATGTTGAACAGAAGGTATTTTAAATATGTCACGAAATTTTGCCGAACGGACAACGAATCGCGGAATTTTCCATGTCCAAACCTTCGTTTTGTCGATATTGGATGCTTGACACAGCTGCCCAGGGTGCTGAACATGGAAATTGGATGCCTCAGGATAGAGCTACAATTGATCGATATATCGCATGTGCTGATAACCCCACGGGTTGTATGCTGGAATTTACTGACTAGTTTTTCGTTAGGATATATTTTACTAGGATGGCATCCAGTGCGAACATCCAGCAGAATTTTAGATGTAAATATTTAGTGAGCAGCGTTAAGTGTTTCAAATGGCTATATATGGGTTTCTTGCTAAGCATACAAATTGTACGCTTTTTGCAAGGTTGGCAGAGGGAAATTATGCACAAAGTCCTTGAAAATGGAACGCAAATTTACTGTTTACTTCTATAACCACACCAGCTGCTCTCTTCCCATTCGATCCCTGCGCGTTTCTGACATTATACCTTTAAGATATTTTTAAACACTGTATAAGTGCTGATTTTTACAATACCCAAATTATTCAGCTGAATTACCAACTATGATTCTTCGTCGTCTACCAGACTTACGCTTCTAAGTTGCTATTGGCTACATGAATCACTTTCGACACACTACATTCATCACTGGTATAGTTTATTCGATTGCAGTGTTTCGACATGCTGCATAATGTTTGATGCTGTGCCATTAGTGTAAACCCAGGATAAAGTTCATAGGTTTTAATTTAAATGGTGTGTTATTATGCAAATGGTAATTTGGTGTTGCTATAGAAGGGTAGTTAGGTGCGAAACCATAATTGGAAATCAGTGACTACAGGACGCGAGCTTCAGAAAGAAGAAACGGTGACCACTTCATGCAGCGAAATTAAATAAACAACGTGCAAGGAAACAACCAGAAAAATAAAGAATGACAGTAACTTTTGAAAGATATGTTCATGTAGTGCTACTTGTTTGCGTGTCACCTAGGTCTCTGTCGTGTTGAAGCAAATAAAACAGAGTAAAATGTATACTTGACTCTATTTATTAAAACAAAGAATTCATGTGCTGAAAACGAAGGAAACAAAGGAAAAAAGCAATGTACAATGAGCAACAAGATGTACTATTCTGGATAATGATTATTTTTTCGCAAATATTAGGTGATATTTGGATAAATCTTTTGGGGATTTAGGAAAAGTCATTCTAATTGCTCCAACTCATCCAATAAATGCTTATTATATCAGGATTCGAAAAGACTTTAGATACGCAAGTATAAAAGGGCAGAAAGTCAATAGATGGTCAGAAAGGCAGGATTTTTAGTATTTTGCTTAGCAAAGTCATTCGCAGCTGGAACAATTTTGATAACAAAAGTAACTTAATCGAGTTTAGGTGTAAAAACGAAGTCTTGTTGCTCGCATGTTATCACAAGGCAACAAATGTCATTAGCAGAATGTTATACCATCATAATGGGCATTCGTACAGCAGCACAATGAGCATTTTTCTCTCTGGGTGCTCCAATTGTGGGATGTATTTCCGTGAATACTTCGTTTAACTTCGTAACCCGTGCACACAGCAGCAGATTTGTGAAATGAAATAAACTATCAATGCTGATTTTTGTAGCCAAACAAACACTTCTTTCTGTTAAAAAGGCCGTGTCTAAGATATTCCACTTATTAGTTGCGGAGACATGCAGCAATATGGTTCTTTGGAATAGCAAAAATTATTTGTAAAAAGCGAGCGTGATTCCTACTCAACCCTGCTACTCGATTTTGGATTCTCTTAATGATTCGCAAGCTTCATTTAAAGGCTTTGCAATTTGTAATCTTCGAAAACGTAGTGGAGATTGAACGTAAGGTTGCATTGACCATCCCACGCTTTTAGTTCCGGTTCTTCGGGAATTTTCAACGCCATGTTTCACGCTATTTCCACATGACCGCGATGTCAAAATATCACATGACATCATTTTGGAACCGAGGCTTCGAGGTATGCCATTAACTTAATTCAGCGTGGCTGCGCATGTTCTTCGAGCACTGTCTGGGTAACCTAAATCTCTTGTACTTAACCAGCTTCATATTCAATTTAGGTCTTTTTAAGCTGGCTAAATTTCATTCCGCTTTATTTGGTTTGTTCGGCCTACCTGAATAATCATCTATTAACTGGCCACGTAGCTTATGTTGATTGCGATTATTTTCGGTAACTTAGTTGCGTTTGTAACATTTTAAAGTAACTTGTGCATATTTTTCATTATCGCGGATTCGTTGCTAACCAACTTACTTCATATGCTAATTTAGCGAAGAATTATGCCACCGTATCTGTATGCATTATTGGATCTATTTTATTTCATCTTGTCATTTCAAGTGATTGGCTGTTGCTTGATATCCCCAGTGTGGCTGCGCTTGATGTGCATGTTGACAAGGTGCCTACCTGTCTATTACCCACTACATCGTTCATACTGGCTCCAGGAGACAGTTGGTCATTGATGGATGGGACTGGGTGCACGGTCCTTGTGGCCGTGCTAGGCTTGAAGAGCGGTTCCATGCACTCAGTGTGGAGCGGACTACGGTCCAGCCACCGCCTTGTGTGCGTTTGATTCCCCAAATAGAGTGTGCTTGTGTTTGCCTGTGAAAGAGTGTGAGTAGGCTCCGTTGATGAAACGTGGCTCCCATTCATACACTTCCTGGTCTTGTTCTTTCGATTTTACACCGGATATGAGGTGTGTGGTTGGAGCTGTGGGTGGTGCAGCACAAGCCACCCATGGTCCCTCTGTAGGCGCAGGCGTCCTGTGGCTGGCCACAGTGACAGGCAAATCCGAAACCGGGTGCTACCAACCATTCATTCTCATAAATTTGTACACAGTGATAGCTTCTTTCCGAAAATGTTCTTACCACGGTTAAACACTGCTGTGAAATACGATAAAATGTTCAATGGTATCAATGACCATAACATGAGTTCAGTGCATTCTGTATCCAGGGAAGCTGCATCCAACTTCTATCCCTTCTGTATTAATTTCCGACCACACCTGCTCACATATATTTCAGTCTTATTTACAGGAAGTCCTAGTAGTTGCTAATGCATTTGCAATCACCAAAGAGAGCATGTTCCATTATATTCAGGATCACATCGATTAGGGCCCTAAAGCCAAGATCAACCAAAAGTCAGTCCAGTTGAGAATGTTGATGGACAGTCATATACCTGAGGTAATTCGATCCGTATTTTGCTTTTGGTTTCTAAACAAGTGCGGTATAGATTGTTGTGAGTACAATCTATAGAGTGCGATTAATGTGACATCATTTCACAATAATATAAGTGGAGCCCAATAATCCTTGGTTTTACAAAAACGTCATCATCTAAACCAATACGTTTCTGCAAACATAGGGCGGGTTTTTGAAAAATCATGTTAGTTTCAAGGAGACCTTAAAATACCAGTATAACAGAAACGATTAATGGGTGTATTGTGGTCGGTTTATACACTCACGTATGTTTCTTATTGGTATCAGATTTATTCTCGTTACCTTGAGAATGAAAGCGCAATCAGCCACACGCAGTTTGTTCTAATCGAGCAGAACAGCAATTTACCAAATTACAAATGGGTAGCAACATGTTGGATGAATTATCACTGATTTAGCAGGTTGAAATCTTCAATCTCGTTGTTAGATGGCAACAGGTTGAAACTTTCGTAGACAATTTTTATTACTGATGTGCTGCTTTGCTCACCAACCTCTATAATTTGATTGCCTAGTTCAACAATCAAGGTTACATCTTTAGTGCTTATCCGATAACAACTCATCTGGTAGGCACCGTAATTAAGATAAAATCTGAGCTGGCATTCAGGCGGAAGTAGGGACCGATGGTTGTCAAAATTATAGTGGTTTGCTGGAGAGCGCACGTTACATTTTACGTGACACCCTGGTTTACGTTATGGCCTCTTCAGCTTCTTGAAAACAGAAGCGGTTTTGTTGCACATTTCATTAAACAACTGATTGCCCTTGATATCTTGGAATTTATTTGAAACCCAATGATAAGCTATCAATTCAAGAGCTATTAAAAACAACCGACTGGTGCAATTACCAGTTACAGTTTGCTTATGATACAGAGGAAGCTTTAGACTAATTATTGGTTGTCATAAACAGAACGAACAATTTCAACTGTTTGGTTGACAAGTAGAGTGGTTGCAAGACCGTAACCTCTGGTCTCCGCTACCCTACACTAGCATGCACTATTTCAATTATAGAATATCTTCTATAAAATATGATGGGATTAATTCCGTGCCTAAAGATAGCAACAAAATACTCGATTTATTTTTGCTCTCGTGCTGTTGTCAGGATATGGACATGGTAAACAAGTTATATATATTTTCACTCACCACAGGCCTTGTAAAGACAGTAGAATCGAACCAGAATGGAAAAAACGTAAACGCTAATGGTAGAATAACAAACTGCATCATACTTGATTGCGAAATGTGGAGACATTCAGCAAGATTCCTAACTTTTGAGTAAAATTGGAGGACAGTTATTCATCCCAGATGAGGAAAAAACAAAGCGCCAGAGCGCGTAGGCTATCAACTGTTATGCGACGCAAAGCAGAAGTTTACCGTTACCAATCTAAATTTAACGCATGTATCCTGACATGCTGCGCTCTTTAGAAAGTGAAAATCTAGTTCTCTCAACTAGAACTTTCCTGTATGTTGAGTAGTAAATGATCGATTTAGCGCTGTCAAATATCATTATACAGCCTTTGTCTTCGTAGAGTTCAGTTTTCAGCACAGTCAAAGAGATGACATGGATTCCACCCGTTGTTCTTTTAAAGCAATTATCTTTCAACAATTGATAACAAACGAGTTCTGAGTATATTTTTACCGTGGCGGATCATGGATCGGCTAACAACTCGGACACTACGCGTTCTGACGTAGCTACTAATCACAACAACGCGTCGTAACATGGGCTATCTGACAAAAATTCTTGTTTTGGTTTTAATTAATGCTGTTGCAGTGCGACTCCAACAGTACATCAATAGAGTGATTAGTTGCCACCAGTACTGAAGGCAACAATTTTAAAATGACTGCTGAAGGCCAGTATAAGCAATGTAAGATAAAAGTTAAACGTTACCGTTAAAAATAGGCTAGGCTTCTTTCAATTCAACATGCAATTCACAAAAGCTCAATATGCCTCGCTAGGCAAACACATCAGTCCGTTTTATTACTTCCCCTGATGAACGCAACCATATCCCGCAGCGTGATTAGTTTAATGCATCCTTAAATCACAGTTCAAACGTGCACAGAATGAAGGCAGGAATGACGTAATTTGAATGTTATACTGTTTCCAAAATCGGAGGGAAGAATTTGGGGCAACATTCCAATCGGTTATGGGGCATGGCTTATTTCAGATGCTGATTAGTTGGGTCGATATACGGACTAGTAATCAAGGGCAGCAGTAAGCGTGACTTCACATTCTGGTAACTCTTTTTGAAGTTTATCCTTAGAACCTTATGCCATCGGCTTCACTACTCTAATTCTTTCATTCTAATATGATATTTGAAATGGAACAAGGTACACGGGAGTTGTTTACGCATTGTTTGTATGCAGGAATATGGAAGGATCTAACCAAACAAAAGCTTTCCTAATCGGACTGCTGTGTCACTTCTTACTTGTCAACTTTCTACAGACCACGACAAGCGGATGAAGCTAACATATGCAGTGCATACTGGACAGTTTCATGCAGTAGTTTCTATATGATGTGGATTTCGTGTGCACGTGTACATTTCAGTTAGTGACGTGTATCGACCACTTTGCATTTGTTCATTTTAAGCTCTGGTAGATTTCATTCCTAAAGTCCATCAACTCTAGTTATCTTTCTTTGGATCATCTCGGGATCTTCTTGACTACTTGACTCTGGCACTCTTCAACTAATGCAAACGCATCATTATTGCCGTATGAAAAACCGTTATACACTCACTTGACCAAGTAGTATAATCCTTCCGAAATGTAAGTGAAAGGCTGAACTTTGTGGATAGAAATGTTGTACTTACACACCCCTTGAAATCAGAACCAACGCAATCAGACAGTAGAGTTCTGACTGGAGAACAAAAGAGGTGTTGCATCGAATACGAGCCAAATCATTGCAACAGCACAAATGGCACCCAATATAATTCATCCGACGATTAGACTATTTTGGCTGTAGTCACCCACGACATTATGCGCCAGCCGAACGTTTCATTTGAACAGACGTGGTTCTAATGCATAGCTTGGTGAACGCAGCCCGAAAAAAAGTTATTGAACATCTCCTTGAACATACTTACCCTCATCTGCAAAGGACTTCCAATTTTAGAGGAAATAACATTGGAATGTGTTTACTGTGTGTTTCGACATGATGGACTAAAGGATAGGGTGTGTCGAAATCAATTTATTGACAGTGTCGTGAAAATATCGTTACTAACCTGTTTGTAGAAACAATACAGGCTTAAACCTACTAACTGTGTACGGTTTTAAAAGGATCAGAAACCATGACGGAGATTTCTATCTGTTTCGAAATAATGCATAACCCTCCAAGCCATTGGATGATTCTGGTCAGTAGGGTGTTATGTTTCAATAAATCGTGGAATCCAATTACTTCAGTGTAAAATTCAGGTGCTTTGTCAAGAATTAAACCAAAAATCAAGGATTTCCTTGGCTGCCATCTGCATCATTCTCTTTATTTACAGTTTGTAGAATGATATCGAAACATATATATCAGTAACTTATGTAGTTCAGTTAGTAGTCTGAGTGTAGGCTTAGGTTGGCAGTTGTGCTTCAAAATTTTCATCACCCTCTAGGGGTGACACTATCAGTGAGCCGTTATATAGTGCAGAGGAGCGGTGCGGCGCGATGCGAAGCATCAGTAAATATGAATGATAGATCGTCTAATTCAGCGGTGACAAAATTGCGGTCTGCTGGCCGGATCAGGCCTGCGACGTCAGTTAATCTGGCTAGGAGACTGTACACCCTTTAGTTTCTTAAATCATGTGCGACACGAGCGCTGTTATAGAAGCGATAAGTAACACTGCATGTCGTGTCGTTTGTGATCTAGGCTGTTTGAATACTGGCGTGTGTCATCTTATGGTTGTTGGCTTACTGGCTGCTGTTTGTAACCAAATTATTGGAACATTGAAATCAATGTTCACGCGTGAAACCCATTCATCCATGCATCCTATCGTGTTATTGCTTATCTCACAACTTTGTGCCGCAATTTTCAGTTTGTCAGCTTCAATGGAGCACATCAATGAAACGCGTTTTGTTAGGACAACACTAGCTTCTACATGTGCCAATTTTGAGCCTAACTGCTAGGAATTTGGAAGAACTTAAAGCTTGGTTATACCGAATTGCTCTGGAAGCGCAAATACTTGAGCCTCATAAATTTTGGTATTGGCACATACCTCTAACTAGCGCGGGTGTTCAGTACCAGCAAGGTAGGTTAATTTAGTCCTGAGAGAAACGCTTTGTTCAAGCCATCTAAGCACATCGCCAAAGTATACCGATATATATATATATATATATATATCGCGACATTCCTTTGTGATGCATTCCATTACCGAAGGCAGCAACGGACTTTATATGTACACATGGTGATCCGTAGTTCCCAGTATGGCCAAAATCGCATTGTTATTCCAGTGTTTCAATGGGCTTTGTATTACCAAAAATAAAGGACCGAAGGTAAACAAATGTTTGTATGATTCATCGTTAGAACTGAATACTAATATGTGTGAAATAACATTGGACATCAAAGTGAATTCGAGCGGTTTACATGAGATTCGATCACGTGCATACCAGGGGCATAAACCAGCAACAAACGGCCAGTTAAGACAAATGTGTGATTGACCGATCACAGCTGACTTCAGAATCAACCATTTTGTCTGGCCAACATGGCTTAAGAGCTTCGACCAGCTTCTTTTGTACATACAAAAGCGGTGGATTCAACGCAATGCTGATCGTCTCGGTAATAGAAAGGGTGCGGAGGCGCAGGCCTTTCGACTAGCATGCACGCGCCCTGTATAATATTCGCAGAGCATGGATTGGATCAACCTCAGGTCCACCATCAACAAGATGATCTATAACAGAGGTAGTTTTAGCCCCTAAACGTAACTTGTTGCAATTTCAAACAGCGGAGAAGAAAGCAGTTTCCCTACGACTACCTTTCAAGGGGGCGCAGCTGTTGAGTGTATACCTAGAAGCCTATCATCAGTTGTTAAGTCGACTTTCCCAGCAGCCAAGCTTAGGTGTACCTTCTCAACAAAGCCACTCATTCGTGTTCCCAAAAAAAGACAAGTTGCCGACACTGAACGTTTCTGTAGTCATATATCGGTTCCAGTGCGCCTATGGCACCACTCATATTGTTCGAACGACCCGGTAACTGTCAAAGCGCACTAATGTGTACCTTCCACGCTGGTTGCATCGAGGCGGTACTTGGGCTATAACTAGCTCTGTTATGGATCATCTTAATGATGGCGGAACTGAGGTTGACCCTGCGTATATTATACAGGGTCCCCCCATGCTATGCGAAAGGCCAGCTCCTCCGCACTCTATCTATTACCGAGGCAATTAGCATTCCGTTGCATCAACCTCATTTGTGTGCACAAAGTCAAAGCCATTAACTTACTTTGGTCAGACAAAACGGTTGCTTCTGAGGCCAGCTGTAATCGCTCAATTACACATTTGTCTTAACTGGCCGTTTGTTGCTGGTTTATGCCCCTGGTATGCACGTGATCGAATCTCATGTGAACCACTCGAATTCGGCTTTACGCCCAATGCTATTTCACACATATGACTGTACGGATCTAAAGATGAATCATGGAAAAGAATTGTTAAATGGCATTTTACCACTTTTGTAACTGGATGTCTTATTTGTTCAGATCACCTGTTTTTCTGCCTTCAATAAAGCTAATGAAACAAGGACAGCGAATAGTGAGAGTCGTTTTCCAGCTTGTTTTTCTAAAATTTTCGTGTTGCTTTGCAAGCTATGTGCGTAATGATTATGCGACCCACGCGAACCATTTTGTCGGTTATCAGGCCCGCGTAAGTGATATGTTTCAGTTATCTGGTCCTCGTCGGCCCCCTTTTACTTTATTTGACCCACCGTGAAAAATGTTTGATGATCCATGCTCCAGGTGGATGTGCCGTCATCTAGGAACACAATGAAGTCTTAAACTGCTGTATCCTCCCAATTCATTGTGGTTTCACATCCCAACAGCTTCTGAGGAAATGGCTTGTTTCTGCCGTTAGCTGGCCAGATCGTTCTGATCACCATGGGATAATGAAGCGATCATTTCCATTTTCCGGAGTAGATGGTAACGCGTGCCCGTTGGCTAAATAGAATAGCTAATAGTACCCGCATTCATCTTACTTAGCCGCTGGGTGTAGATGCTTCGATTGGCCACCAGTTGCAACAAATAGGCAAGTAGGTTTTTATACACCAACGTACCTCAAAATAGGTAGTGGACGTATCTTAATGTTTAATGGCTGCTCAGATACAAAGTCCCAATTTTTGAGACCCTATGGTGTTTACTTTTTTAAACGGCTTTTCTAGAAACTACTAACGAACGGTCTGCGCAAGTTCCTGGCTCCGTGTTGTAAGGCCTGTCTCCATCCAATTTCGGCGGACGGCCCTGCACTTTTACTTTTGCGGCATACCAAAGCGGATCCGCAGCAGCGCTGCAGCTCGAGAGAAGAGGCCACTTTGAAAGCCACATTATCTGGTTTAGAGGACAATTCATCCCTACCGACAGCACATGCAACCTTGCTTTGGGCGCCTGAAAGCGGGACACTGGAAACCGATGCCTGTCAAGAGTTGGAGCTTTACCATCCAACATGTTTGAAATGTGTGCAATGTGGTGAAAAGTTGACCCAAGTGGATAGACGATGTTGGAAAAATAAAAACAGTGCAGTGATCTGTCAGAAATGTCGGGAACGGTTAGTGCTATGAGATTAATATTAATATATATATTCGCTATATTCAAATAGATGAATTGCCACATAAATTTCGGTCGCCCAAGTAGGAAACATCGGCAAAACTCGATGTCTCCCTATCCTCATTAGCCGAAACATGCATCGGGGTAAGACTGAGCAACAAACGCAAAGTAGCTGTAGATAAATGACTGGCCGTGTGGCTTATGGTGAGCTGCAGATGCTCCGGTTATGCAAGCCACCAACTAAAGGGTGTGTAAGGATATTAGAAAGATACACATATCTAGATAGATGTAAGCTGATAACTAAGCTGTACCACTGATCTATGGATATTTACTACCAACTTACCACTAGCTTAATGTGAAGAGAGGGTAAATTCCAATTAGCTACTGAACAAGTTTCATCAGGTCTTTATTGAAATATGCTTGCATTAGCCAACCCGAATTTCTGCTTGCATAACAAATCGTACTTACTAATGCTGATGACAGCACTTAAGGTGGCGTTATTTAATACAGCTCACTAATTTATTGAGCTTAAGAAAAAATTCCGTCTTGTAAGAAAGTGGACAAGTAGCACAACTCTGGTCCGTTTTTTCTGTAATTTCGATGACAAGTACCTGGGAATAAATGGTGTATGTGTGAATGTTCGCACAGGTGAATTTGCAATGTCGTAGTTTGTAGCAGTTCACTCCCATAAAAACTTGGCCAGTTAACTTCTGTACATTATGTATGCAAACTTTACAGTCCCTCATTTGAGAACAGAGCATGCTTCAGGACAAACAGTAGTTAGTTAGATGGGCAACGTGCATAGGATAACATTCACTTGAAAAAGGGCAGATGAACTCTGGGTTTTCATGGACACGTTCAGAGAATTTCAAAAGCATTACATTGCTGAACCCAGGAACCGCATCGCTGGCGAACAGTATGCTACCTGGTAGTTAGACTCTGATTCTGGGATCGCCGGTCCACAGCGCCAACGCCCAAAATAAATCGCTGGCGGCGTTCGGATCCTTAATTGCCTGTCACTGCGGCGTCCAAAGGACAGTCACAAGACGCCTGCGCCAACCGATGGAATCTGGATGGCTTGCGCTGCACCACCCACAGCTCCAACCACACACTCCATTTCCAGTGTGAACCAGAAGGAATAAGGCCGAAACCCGTGTGGATGGAAACCACGTTCCATCAACGGAGCCGGCTCATCCTCTTTTAACATGCAGAGCAATAGTATTCCTATCTTTAAAATTGCTGATTCATGCGTACCAGAAGTACACAAGACGCTGGCTCTACCGTAGCTCGATCCACGCTGGATGACTTACGCGATCACGAGGACCATACTATCCCTCTCCCCAACCAGTGACCAGCTATCGCATGGCGCCAGTAAAATCGAAGTTGTGGTTTTCCTTCAGGTACGCACCTTCTCAACATTCGCATCAAGCGCAGCCACATCGGGGATACGAGATACAAAAACACAGTATAAAGAAAATTGAACACGCAGGCTGGACAATAAGTGTACAACAAAAGTACAGAAAGGAGCAACTTAAATACGTGCTTATATCTGACCTGGAGTAAGATGATCACTGCCTTGTAATACTAATTTATTGGATCCCAACCGAGAATGCAAGAAAATACAAACACAAAAGATTTAGAACATGCGAAGGAATAACAGAGTTAAGCAAATACAATAATCTGGATTGATTCAGATCTAATGTATTTCACTACATGCGTAAATTGTTCTGGCCCAATTGCGGTGAATAATTATAATATATGCAAGATAAACCTCAACCTCAGTCCCATGTACACACAAACACGTGATAGATTGTGTTGGGCCATCTACGATGTTGAGTTAATTCAGTTTGCATCTTCTTGTAACATAGGCGCTTACATGGAGTTAATAGTTACCATTTGCTTTGCAAGTATTGAATGTATGTTCGACAGGTACCGTTTCCTTTGGGCTGCATACACAAAACGTTAGAGTGTTGTTTCTGATAGCAAATGGTGAGACCGATTTGATTCTTTGTGGAGTCCATCATGTTGAGCTTAATCAGCAGTATCTCCCTTTACCCAATGTCTTACTCAACGATCCTATCCCTCTTTATCCCCGATCATTTTTACTTGTACTTTGGTACTGCACTACATTGTGCAATCTGAATAATTAAACTATGGCAAAACGCTTCTCACTGGGTTTTTGGTTCACCTCAAGATACATGGAATCTAATCGACTAAATGTGATGGAAGGTTTCAAAAACGGATTTGTCAGGAGTAAAAAGCAAGTGCTGATCTGGTCTTGTAAGTGAAATGAGTGAACGTCAAAAAGTATGTCAATCTAGGAAACGGACAGGTTGAACTACGGTAAAAGTAAAAGGCACAAGGTTGGTTCAAATTAATTTTTCTATAGCAGAAAATGCAGATGAAGTAATGCATCATCATTTCGTTTATAAGTTCTGCTAACGGGGAAGCGGAATTGGTAGAAATCATAAGAGCATTTCATTACTGCGGCACACGAAGAAAGTAGAATTTCCGGTAGTATTTCAACTGCCTATGCTAGCGTGACAAATGCTATTGTCATTCTATCAGTGAGCTATGGTGACTGTATCAATAATTTTCAGCAGGGATGTTTTCCATGCTTGAGGATCTGATGAACAAAATATATGTTCATTATCTAATGCCTACATTCAAGCCATTTTCCGATGTATGCAACATTTTCGAAATATTGAATTTCGTCTAAATCGTCTCAATCACCAGTGTTTATGTAAACAGGTATAGCATTGCAAGGGATGAGATACCTTGTCTGACCGCCTGTTAACGGATACTTCACAAGTTGCAAGTTTTCTTGACTGGAGCATATATATTTAAAAAATAAGCTAAAGACACGGAGAACGTCAAAATTCAGTCGATTTATTCACATTTTATTTCTTTGCGGTTCGGTCGTGAAAGATACACTTACACAACCATGTCTGATCGCACATGCGAATCTGATAGTTGGTGGAGACGGCAGAGTCAAAAAAATATTTAGGGAATTTGTATTGTTGTCATTATATACTTGCGGTAGGGGAGGCAGTTAATAAGCAGCTAATCCATAAAAAATGAAGTCAGTATTCCAACTTTTACAATCTAGAATATTTCCTCTCTTTAGTCGTAAATGCCCACTTATTTGGATGCTTACTCATCTGGCACGCAAATAAGCCAAACTTTGCATTTCATGGTACACACACAGGGTTAGGTTGACAAAAGAATGGCCTCCATCTTTACTTCTTAGTACCATGTTTTATTTTTTAGTTTACCTGTTTGCACCTAACGTATCTTCAGCATATTCAGTCGGTAGCATCATGTATGTATACAGAAGTTACTAGACTTGCTCTAAGAATTAATACTACATCTCAGCAATTGCAGGTAAGCGAAACCAATAAAATGAACCATGAGAACCAGGGGGTACCGCATCTTCAACGTTACTAATCTTTATGCATTCCTTCCGCATCATTCTTCACAGTCTCACTCATTGCGCTCGTTGTCGACTCAAAGTGGCGCGCGATGCATGGGTGCACAAACTTGACAAGATACCATTTCATGTTGCTTGTCTTGCGTGCGACAAATGCGGACACCAGCTAAGTCCGGGTGAGAAGTGCGGTGTCCGGGATGACCGGATATACTGTATGGAGCATTATTTAATGCAATTCAATGGATCTGATGTAAAACGCGAAGCAGTGGAGAAACCGATCGACTCATCATGGTTAGGTTCCTGGAGAGGGTCGTACGTAACCTCTGATTCTACAGGACCAACACTGAGTGAGGATACTGAAATTGGAGTTATTCGATCACAACATCACGACAGCCGGGGTTACAGTGAGTTCTCCTTTCGGTTTGTTTGTACGATTGATTTTAGCCAGAAAGTAAGGATCGACCGCAATAATCAGGTATTACGCAGATGAACATTGGGTGCTGCTCACTCCATACAATCGCACTCTGGTTAGGCAACACTTGATATTCATCTACATCAGTTATAGAGCCGGTGATTTAAGCTTCCAGCTTCACCTGGAAGCGAATCGTGGTAGACTTTGCATCTGAGCTTCGCAAAAATCACAAGTAGAGTGATACAAAATAACTCCTCCAATCTATCTCTATGTACCCAACATAAAATACCAACACATCAAATGTACAAGTGAAGAGTTACGTCAGTCGGAGTGGACAAACTAGTGTCGAGGTTTACTAGGAATACTACTTTGAAATTTCCCATGAAACATCAAAATGGCTAACCAGCGACCGACGTCAACAAATCCCCGCACACAGCAGTTTTGGTGATGATCATTATGTAAAGAGCCATGTGATTTCCAAATTCATGACAGCAAGCTACTCTACTGAAATTAATAATTAATCAGTTTATTCTTAGTTTCCTAATCGGTCAAGCTGTATCCGCTTTGTTTCGCCGCGGTTCAGCAATTCGATCTTGATAACAACTCACAGATCTATTGATTTTGTGTTGATAACCGCTTCCGGTAGACTTTGTTAACTTAAATATTTTGCAACCTATATCAATCTGTATTTACTGCATCACACTCAATGCGTCTTCAGATCGCTTTCGTTTCGAATGACAGTAGTGGGTTTACTTTCGTTACGTACTTGCGAGTGGTTTCACTTATGTGTAAGGCTATTGTATTACAATTTCTTTAATTAGTGTTATAAAACCATGGTTTAATATCGCAAGTTATTTCGCCCACTGTCCTGTTTTGCCTCCTTGACCGTGCATTTGTCCAGTGAATTCGCTTGTTATCAGTCTCTGCGGCCCTAACATCAGGGGTTTAATAGCAAACTGAATCCCCATCGAGCGCTCAGCGACACCAGGGTATTCCAAACCGTAGCAACTATGGAGTGTAGCAGTAGTGTTGCAGTACAAAATTGTGCAAACATGTTGAACAGCAATATGTTCCTTATCAAAAAGGCAATATGCAACATTTCATTCAATCTGTGGTTACGGAGAGAATCATCTGGATTTTGACTCCGATCTAACCGGCACTTAGGATCTCAAAAGTAGGCGTACATCCTTCTAATCTTCGTACTGGCTTAGGCAAAGCGTTTACGGTGATGTTCCCAGGTACGCTTCACTTCCTCCCAAAGTTCTCCTTTGGAAAATAGTACAGCAAAACCGTGTGATAAAATGCAAAACTGCGAGAACATTGTGTGGAGCCATCATTGTCAAGTACTTGTGCATTGGTTGTGAAACACCTGGAATCCACGTGCCTAAAACGGAGCCGATTGTCAGGTGGAATTCAAAAAATGCGCAATAAGGTCGGTAGTGTTACTCCGGACTGAGATTTGTATAAGAACACTCCTCAAATATGGTGTTCAAACTCATTTAACTGAGCATTCCAATATAGACAACAATTTTTGCACTCTTTTAATAGAATTATAAGGCGCGACTACCTATCTATGTGAAGGATTTCTAATGCTTCGTATATAAGGAAGCAATTTCCGTTTTTGGTCGTAACTTCTTATGACTGGTCGTGGGGATGCAACATATATGTTTGCTAAGTTGTATCTAGCTACATGCACACACATCTTTCACGTTGGCAGTCGTTCACTCATCCGAAATATGTTTTTTACCAACCCACTTATCACAATGGAGCACTTAATAGCGTTCCCTCTATTTATAGGCATAGTTAATCATTTTAAGTGTAGAAATTACATGGAATAACATTAATATATTATTATTCGCAAGCCTGTGGCAAAACACTTTTACAGAAAGGGACTAATTCTATTTTTGTCTATTTGAATTTTCGCGCTACAGACTGGTTGAACACTACAAATAGGATCTGGAAAGCCCAGAAAGCGACATACTTCTATACCACTTATGAGTAGGTGGTTTCAAATCAGATTTAAAAACTGACCGAAATGCAATTTGTTCATCAGAGGGTGTCTGCAGTAAGTCAGTTTTACTGAGAGCGGGCCAAGCTTTACGTTACTTGACTCTTCAACTGCAACTTCTTTTGGAAATTAACAGGATTTAGCCATACAGTAAAGTAAACTATACATCAGTCAAACATCAACAAGCTGTTTTGTTGACAAGGCCACGGTGTGACTATTGCAGTGGCCACATAGAGGCTAACGGTGAGTGATGCTTCACTGGCCTTTGCTTCAAAAACTTATACTTTCGCATTAAGTGACCTTGTAGTTAAAACAGGCATACGACAGGAATATTAAGTATATGACAAGTATAAAACCCCAAGTGTCCACTGCTACATAAATTTTCTACATGCTCAGGAACGCCTGTCCTATGTGCTTAGCAACATAGTTTTAAGTGTTCGAGCGCTTTTGTTTATTCCGGCTTCCTTCTAGAACATGGAAAACCATACTCTGCTTAGCATCTAGATAACTGTGGTACGTAGATTACATGGACTTTACACCCGAAGTTGGTGATTTATTCTCTTGATCTCAGCTAATTCACCTGACGAAACAGAACAGACAGAAGACGATCGGAAACATAACAAATTCCTTGATACGCAAGTAAGCGATATCACAGTCCAGTTCCGGTCTACTAATCATGAGGAACACACGGAAGACCCCGGACTGCCTTCAACAAACTACTCACGAGTTTCTTCTCTTCCAACAACAATCGCAGTCGCATCCAAGTCAGATGATTTGACACGTGAGTCGTGGTACGCAACGGACGATTCAGTGGTAACCAGTGAAGACCCGTTCGCTCTACCTACTTCATCGATTGTGATCGGCCAACCAATTGACTGCTCATCTTTGACGGCAGAACAGGGTATTCTGTCAGCAGAAAGCAGAAGCAGTAGCGCCAGTAGTGCACACTCGAAATCGAAACGCATACGGACCAGCTTCACTCCTGACCAACTAACAATACTACAGGCAAATTTTGATATTGAAGCCAACCCAGATGGTCAAGAGTTGGAGCGGATCGCTAACATGGCGAGGTTGAACAAGCGGGTTACGCAGGTAAGAGCTGGAAGATAGTTTGTTGGCAAAATCGGAAGGTACTAATTTTAGTCTACCAACCATGACCTTTGGCTGCTTCACTAATGGGTAGTTGTTCGGTTTCAGCCGGAACCTCAATGAATTTCGACACCATAGTGGAAGTTGCCAGGTTTGGGATAGTAATCCAGCATTCGAAAGTATTGCTTACCTGAGCTGTTGAGTGATATTAGATGATCCATAATGACATCTACAGGTGTATGATTTGAGTACTTCAGGGCCAAATATACTTTGGTGGCCAAAAAAGGTAAAAAGTGCTCGTTTGTGGCTTTACTCATTTACGATCATTAGTGCTAAGCATTTTTGCAAATAACCGACATTCAGAGATTGCAACCAAGCTCAGCACATCTAGAAGCCTGTGATTGTAGTACAGATAAGCAATTTCTTTATTGGTAGCAAATGAAACAAGGGATCCCCGAGTTAAAAATGGTGTGCAATACGACGGTAACACGCGTCCTGTTCGCTAACTGTTTTAGCTAGTCTGCTATAGATGTTGTAATCAGCAAGTGCATTGGTTCACTTTTGCAGTTAGCTCTACCACCGGAAGTACCGGGAAGACAAAGAACATAGCTATTGCACGTCTTAAATACGTTGCGTGCTCAAATTCTTAAGGCCACCTTATGCAATGTTCGAACGACAGTAGCTGACATCTGTAAGGACAGAAGAACTCAGGTGGTTATAACAGCATCTATAAAGCGGGTACATACGAAAAACTGTTGACAATATGCATTTACTATTATATATATACCTAATGTGCGCTTCTTCTAACTAAGTCATGAATTTAAATGAATTCGAACAGATATAATATTATCAATTGCGCCACTAAGAGCAGCCAGTTGACCAGGTCCACGGATACAGCGGCAACCACGTATAACCGATATCGCTTTCGCCCGATTCTGGTTTGTGTTCATCCCTGAGGGTCTGGAAAGAAAATCATCTTCTGCTTACTACTATGTCTCAGGGATGGCTGCAAGACGCTCATAGTAAAAATTAGACACTCTTAGAAATTACCAGACCGATGTTTTGCATTAAGGACTCTCCATCTCCCTTCTGAATTTCAGGTTTGGTTTCAAAATGCCCGTGCGCGCAAAAAGAAAATTGAATGCAAAGGTTTCCCTGGTTCGGGTTCATTGAATTCCGTTCACTGCGATTCGTATTGTCTGCATGATGGTGGCAGCACAAATACAGAGGAATTCTATGAAGACTGTGATGAAGCCACGAGTGGCGCATATGACCTACTGCCCATGTATGAACAGTTTAACGGATTCTGCTTCGAATCCACTCTGTCTTTCAAGCCAGCAGAGCATTTGGGGCTGTCCCCTCAGTTTCCGTTCACCCGGCCTAGATCCCCTTTTGGTCCCTTAGGGCTACCACAATTAACTCACAACTCTGCCCTCCCCCGGACCGGACAACGGGGCATATGCTGTGCAGACGGTATACCACATAGGGTACATAGTCCATTGAATCACATAATAATCGCGAACACGAAAGTGCCAGATAGCAAATCGATAGACTGACAAAGACGAGAAGTGAGAAATTACGCTTTAAAATTAATCACTACGAAACAGCGCAAGCGTTTTCTGTGCTAATCTTCTTCCGCGAAGGAACATACCCTTCGTTATTTAATGGCCTGGCGCCTATTTTCATCCCCTTGGTTCCCTGTTTATTGACCCATTTATTTGTGCTTTACGAACGCTTTCTTGATGCATTATTCCATATCCATGACTGTTGATCAACACGTTTACATTTTACGAGAAATGTAGCAAAAATAATTAAAATAAATATCAGAAAATTGGCTATCATGAAAAGCTTACGCACAACTGGTGTTGGTTATTGCTAGTGCAAACAAGGGGGAATACGGGATGAGGACATGGCTGTTACCTTACGAACAGAGCAGTTCTGACTACCAAAAAGAGTGAGCAGCGCGCGTCAGGACGACGATGCCAGAATTCCTTTATTTGATAAACGTTTTTATTAAAGCTCGTGGTGACATTTCCTTTCATTATGTTGATGGTGGCATAGGCATAGATTGGTGTACTTTAAGGACTCACGGTGCACTGATGAAATAATGCCTTGTACAATTATCTGTTTATTCCAAACGTAAATACCGGTATTCATTGAACCATTTTAGGAAACTTGCGCCGTACCTTTTAGGGAGTTTGCTGTTTTTTGTTCATGGCTTTTGCGTTAACGTTGGAGCAAGCTACAATGTAGTGATGCGAAAGTCCGAAAGGAAGCCTGATCACACAAAGGCCGCATCCTTTCATCTGGAAGATTAGGGAGCACGGGTATGTCATCATTGTAATCTTACCATTATTGAGACGCCAAATATCAAAAACAAACGCTTGCATCGGACTAGCGTACAACGATGAGAAACAAACAGCATGGTTTCGTAAAAGGTCACTCGTACATCACCAACCTACTGTTGACGATGCACGAGTGGTTACAAGCGCTGAACCAAGGACAGTCGGCCGACGTCATTTATGTTGACTTCAGTAAGGCTTATGACTAGCTAAATCAAGCAGCGCTCCTCGACAGGCTGAAGATGTGCGGTGTTGGCGGCTCCATGCATCGATGGATCAAGAATTTCCTTGTTGATCGAAAGTGAAGGGTCCAGGTGGACAACCATTTGACCGCCTGGTATGCACCGAGCAGTAGCGTAACCCAAGGCGCTGTACAGGGCCGATTTTGTTTCTGATCCATGTAAACGATGTGCCTCAGCTACTACAATCACCTTGTGCGTTGTTCGCAGATGACTTGAAGGTGTGGAGATTAATCCACACACACCCAATGATCGTAAACTGTTTCAGCAGGAACTTGACCGTCTCTCCACGTGGTCTGCAGTGGTCAACCTTCCGATCAACCCGGTCAAGTCACAATTCATTAGGCTGGGTGAGTGCGAGCACAGTCGAACCTACACGGTGGTCAGTCAAGTGCTGCATCCCGTGCCTTTCTTGCGAGACCTCGGTGTACTCTCAAGCTGCGACCTAAAGTCTATGGACAACCCGAATAGACTTTACCAAAACTGCCTTCGCGTGCATTGGACGCTCAGGCGCAACTGCAGCATTTGGTCCGAAGAGATTGCCACTCTCCTCTTCGTCTCAATAATACGACCATTGCTAGAGTATAGCTCACCCGCGTATTATCCTACCACCCGATGCGAGGTAGAAAAGCTTGAGCGAGTGCAGCATGTAGCCACCAGGCTGCTCCCACCTTACCAGGTGTGTCGTACGAAGACCAGTGTAAGAAACTAGGGCTGTAAAACCTAGCTTATGGTCGACTGAGGGTTGACCACATCACGACGCACCAGATATTACGTCTGGGGAGTACTGCATGTTGAGGCTACTGCTTCATCTGTGCACAGCAAACAGCACACGAGGACACCGGTCCAACCTTGTAGTAACAAATCTGAAGCGGGTCATTCACCAACTCTGTTTCGAACGCAGAGTGGTGAATGTATGGAACGACCTGTCGCAGCATGTAGTTGAGACAAAGTCAGTGTCGGACTATAATAAATTCCTGGATAAACACTTTGTCGACATAAAATATATCGAGCGCACCACAACATAACGGGTCTTTGTCCCTGAGTGACAGATGCAGCTACACAGAGAAATCTCTACTTGCTGCTTCTAACCAGTACTCAGTAATCAGTAATCACATATCATAATGTATCCCAATCCAAAGGTTTTACTAGATGGCTGGTGTGCAAATTTTTAATTAATTCGAAATGTACAATTGTGACGATGCTCTGCTTCCGCTTTTGGTACACGTCAAAATATACTTTGGACGATTTTTGAATAATGATATAGAAGACGGCGTCTCACTTCTGTCTGCGGAGAACCCGTTGTATGCTATAACTTAACTTCCTGGTGAGAGGAGTAGCGGGCGAACTGAAATGATCAGTGTTCGCCGTTGTTTTCCTTTTAAATGTTGCTTCTACTGCTGCCATCATTGTTGTTGCATCATAAACTAATTGTAGGATAAAGAAAATTTGTATGACGCTATAGGACTGCATGCGTATTTTGAATGTTGTTTTAATGGCTACACATCATCACTCAGAAAGTAAGTGATCATGGAACTATATCTATTCCACCGCGATCTGGATAATTCTTTAAAATTTCCAAACCTTTTAGCTGCGTTCATTGCAGCTCCCTGAGACAAATAACGAACAAGGAACAATGAGCAAAGGAGTAGCGTGTGTGAAAAACAGGTAATTGTAAATTTCCGTATGGTGGCTAGGATTTGTGATTCACTTGCTTAAGTGTCTATCGGACTGAATGAACTACTGAATAACAATAGTATAAAATGAGAATTAGATGCAAATATACAAGACAGTACGTGGGCCAGCCATAGCTGAGGTATTCTGCGAGAAAAATAAAAACAAGAACGCCAAATAATGTACCGCCCTATCCTTTCAACGGAATACATAAATCCGGTATGAGAGCATGAGCAATGTATTCTACGGTGGCATAGCTTTTGTAACCTATTGGTGGGAAATAAAGTCAAATGAAATGAAATGTTGCAAATCTCTGAAGTAGGGAGGAAACAAGCAAATCGATTAGGGGCAGATGGTGCACCAATTAGCTAACTCATAACACAGAGAATGAGGCACGATATGTTTTTGGATCTTAGCGTAGCAAGTTGGGGTAATTAGACTTCAGAAAGATAGTTTGAATGCAGAGTGTTGCTCCCGTTACCACCATGGGCTTAGCCAATACAGCAGAATATTCTGCCAGACTCGACGCTGATCTGGAGATAATTTTTACCAAAAGACTAGACCTAATTTCTACCTAAAAGCCTGCTGCCCTTGTCTTTCACAACCACCAACGTATAGATATGTATTAAGTTATATAGTAAGGTTAACTACACTGCGCCAGAAAAACAGCCGTCCAGAACTCTTCAACGACGGAAATGATAAGCGGATAACAGCGAAAACTTCGACCGAAATTCCGTCGAACTGCTTTTTCGAGCATGACAAATGAAGACTTGTCATCTCAATGCCATCACAGTATAGATTGTATAAACTTCTGTTTTGATCTGTTTTATCCCACTGAGACAGCCTAATTGTGAAGTGACACATGCTCATACCCGCTGTTAAAGCAACTACGAGGGAAGAAAGTATAGGCTTTTAAACAAAAGCTAACCACCCGTTTTAAACGTTGGTCTGTGGCTGTAAAAGTAAAGTAAGTAGTTTGGACAGTCCGTACCTTCAGAATGCTTTTGGTAACGATTGTTGCCGTGATGTGTGGATTCCCAAGACAACTTTTTGCTAAAAGTTACCGAAGAACATCTGGCACCGATAATGTAGACAAACTCAACGCTGACAGCTCCTAATCACCCAACAGAATAACCCTACCTTCAGTCCCCATCCCAGAACATCCAACTATTTGATCACACCAGTGTTTACAAGGAGCTCACATGACTGAAATTAACAAGACTGGTGGCCTGAATGTTGTAACAGTAGTCGCCCTGAAACAATGTGCATTTGTTTTAAAAACACTCCTAACATCGATCCTGAATCGGTGCTTAACGACTGGTACCAAGCTGAAAACTGGAAATCTTGCGGAATAACACCAGTACCTAATACAGCATCTCGGAAATGTATGCTGATTGCATGCAAGCCCGTGTTGCTAAAGGTACGGCAAAAATTATTGGGCCCACGCTTTCACACAGGCAATCATAGTAATGGAATCAAACATTTTGCTTATAAACTGGGACGCTCTACATTGGATTCCTTTTCTTATCTTATGCATTACATTGCGTTCGCGTTGGATAATAACTGCAAGAGCGTAAAGCTCCTACTCTTTAGATTATACCGGTATAATTAGATGGCTTGACATATTATTACTGCCCGACGTTTGTCCAAAAATGGCGTCTCCCGTGCGTATTGTGTTGCCTGATTACTTCACAAATCACGAGCACACCAAGTAGATATGCTGCAGACAGTCTACTGCAATCTCAATAAACTACGGTGTTTTGCAGGGAGCCTTTCTCTCCCATTTCTTATTCCCCGTATACTTCAATTGTCTCCCCATTTCATCCAACTATATTGGCTGTAAATATACTGATGGCATAATCCAAGTTCTCGATAACTATTTGAAACTCTCATGATATTTTAATGAACTAATGAATTAGTCAAAGCCACAGTCCTTTGGTCACAACCCATCCAAGTATTGTGACGTAACGTCCAGTTTTCTACATTCCAAACGATTGCCTTTCCTTGTACAGTTTTCCTTTCCTTGATGGTGAGTAATCGAATCACACCACATTTCATACAGCAAAGTATTTCGGAGATTTTTATACCACAATTTATCACGGTCTACAAGAATTTTGAAAATTTAATAGCTAGTGTGTTGTTCTTTAACGCCCTCAGTCTCAAAATATTCTCCGTACTCCTGTTTTATTTTGAAGTTTTGTAACTGTATGAAATCTCTCTCACTGGTCGCACCGTATTCCTGCAATTTTCCCTGGAACTTCTCAAAATGAGTGTGTACTTCTTGTCTGTTCGCTAAAGTTT